ACCAGGATATTATTGGAGAGTTACAAATCCATCTTCAAATCTGACTGAAGCGGTCCAAGAAATCTCAGATTCAAGTGGAGAACACAGGTGGAAAAATCATAGTATGATTGCAGAAGCCTATATTCGCTTCAGAAATTCAGCTAAAGAAAGAGCAAACTATTTTACAGAATTAAATAATAACTCTTTTTTTTTTTTAATCAGGCACTTGCTATCGTTTTCCCCCTTGCTGACATGAAAATTGAGAAACCGGGAATCCAATTACAAATGCTAGATAAAAGGGAATGATTGCAAAGAATTTTAATTGGATGGGAAAGATGTTGAAGGCATGTTCACTAGATACATGCTTCAAAAGCAGCAGAACTACAGGCAGAGGTCACTGTATAGAGGGATAACAGGTGACTTAGAAATAGAGAACCACAGCTCAGGTTTTCAATCAATAGGGCCAGTGAGAACTGCTGGACCTTCGATGCAATTCATTACTTCAAGAGGTAGTAAACAGCAATATTGACATTTAGAATTCAACCAAACCCAAAGTTGCTTATGTCTCTGGCAGCTTTATTTTAAAGCATGAAAACTCTCAGCAGGAGGTACCAAGGGCTTTGCAACCTTTTATTTCCAAGGCTTGCAAGGAAAAAACATGTTGTTTGGGTGTCTGTTCTGAACAGCTCTTATTGTGTTCCTTCTCCTTCTTTCTCTTCTTCTTCATCATCATTTATTATTGTTATTATTATTACTGCTTCTTCAAGATGTAACATTAGACAAAAAATGGATGGTCTACTCTTTCCTGTATAGCATGGTGACCCAAAACCCTCTTGATACCTTAAATTAGAAAAGCCTAAGTTTTTTGGCTTGAACTATGATTTGAACTTTACAAAACTCTCCTGCTAAGCATGGCAATGAGCAGACATTTAGCCCTGCTAAGAAAAGCATAACCAGTTTCCAGATAGGAGGACTCAGTATTCAAACCTAGATGAGCCTGAGCATTCATCAAAACATTTTGGTTAAAATTCCTCTTGTGGTAGCCCCAGACCCACAGGATGATGGCATTTTGAAAACAGTGCAAACCCAATGGCAAAACTCCCATTATTTTCTAAGATGTCAGGATTTCACTCACCAGAATGAGATCATCTATCAGCTCTCCTTGTTCAGTCCCAGTGAAAACAAGAATGCACCAGCAGATGAATCTGGCCACAACTCAGGCTGAGGTGTGTGGTTTTAATCTCTTCCTTTGAGAGAGCAGCCCAGCCTTTGACAAGCCTTTGGAGTTAGGATATATACCACGAATTAAATTCCTTTGCTGCTGGGCTCTGTTTGTGGGGAAACTATTTACCTTTTAAATGATACACTTTCTCAGACCTGTCACTGGAAAGCAGAGCCACACCTGACTCTATCCCTTCTGTTAATGGACCTGGACAAGTTTTATTGGAAGGACTGCAGGGAAACAGAAACAGCCACACCAGGCTTGATGGCCCATCCAGGCAAGCTGTTGATGTTAGATCTTCCAAGGAACAGATATAAACATGCCTATAATGGATACTATAAGGGTTCTGTCTGCAGAAGAAATGTTCCCCTAATCCGTCCAATGCAGACAATGGTATCTCCTTGTCTGGCACTGGAAACATGGAGCTTCCTCCTGTCCTTCCCTATCTTGGATCCTTCAGGAAGAACAGACCACTCTGAGTGCACAGGGTGAGAAAGGATCACATCCTAAAGGGTGAAAGAGGTTGGGGTTTGTACAAATTAACCTCTAATTGCAGTCACTGACCCAAGGGAAGGGAAAGGGGGGAGATGGAGATGGCAAGGGAGGCAGAAGAGGGAGAGGAGGAAGAAGGAAGGGAAGGGAAGGGAAGGGAAGGGAAGGGAAGGGAAGGGAAGGGAAGGGAAGGTTTGGGAAGGGA